TTGTAGTGGGACGAAGGCAGCGGGGTGGACGCGCCTCGAAGCGCGCGCTGAAGGAGAGAGGGGTGCCGAGGAGGAGGGAGGAGGGAGAGGAGAGGGGGAGGAGGATCCCAGACCTCCGACGGTATGTTTTGTTTCTACTCTGGGCGCTTCTCCTCGGCTTGACCTCTGGGGCCGCGCACTGAAACAGTCATGTCGTCGGATGTCCGTCGAGTACGGAGAAAGGGAGGAGGGGAGGGAGGGAGGGAGGAAGGGGAGGCAGGGGGAGGAAGGGGAGGCAGGGGAGGAAGGGGAGGAGGGGAGGAGGGGGAGGAAGGGAGGAAGGGGAGGAAGGGAGGGAGGGAGGGCGGGACTCGGGCCGCGCGTGCGGCCGCCAGCTACGGCTGGGGCGGATGCCTCCTGCTTGCTGCTCTCTGCCTCGTTTCGTGCCGTCGTCTCCTCCTGCCCCGCTCGCCGCCCGCTTCCGCTTTCCTGCCGTGGCCGTTGCGGTTCGCACCTCGCACTGGGCGCTCTCGTCACCATATCTGGGGTTTTGCAGATAGCATGGTCAGACCTGTGCTGGTCCCCTCCACGGGGCGGTCACGTCACCGGAACATCATCAGATGATGAGGGGATTCGGTTTGTCTTCGGGATTCGGTTTTTTGTTACGCATGGGGCCAAGGGGGCCAGGCGGACAGCGACTACGACGACGACGACGAGGGCGACGAGGACGAAGGGGAGGAGGAAGAAGACGCCGACGAGGGGGCGGAGGGTCAGCACCCCCATCCGTCCTTTCGGCCCAAGCCAAGAACAAGGGCAGAAGGAAGAAACGCATCGGAGTCACATTGGACCCATACACCTTAGGCGATGCTTAAGAAAACTTAAGTTTTCGGCCAGAGTCTCGATTATTCTTAACGTTTCAATGTAAATCTTAAGATCATAATATAAACGTTGGGTTGTTATTCAAGTTCTGAGACTATGAATTTCTTAACCCATGATTTCTTAAGCATTTCGCAGGGTGTAGTGACACAGTCTTGGGGTCAACTAGGGTTTAGAAGGGCCATCTTGGGGAAATCTCGAAGTCGTCTAGGGTTCATGGGGTCGTCCCAGGGCCACTTCGGAATAGATCAGGGTCGCGCGGTAGCCTCAGTGCCGACGGAAGACAATGGGTTCGTCTCGGTGGTCTCTTGGGGCCGCAGGGTCGCTCTGGGGTCATATTGGAGCCATTGCTTAGCAAGGGTGGGTATCTTGGGCCTACAGGGGTAGTCTCATTCAAAAGCATGTTGGGTCCATCTTGGAATCATATTTGCGTTGCTGCCTCTCGTTGTTGTTGCTACAGATGTTGATGTTGCTGTGGGCGTTGATGCTGCTTGTGCTTCCTGGGCTGCCCGTGGTGCTGGTGCTGGTGCCGTGTTAAATTTCGGGCCCCCTTGGAGCCATCCTGGGGCCCTCCTGGGGCCTTCCTGGGCCTCTTGTGACCCTGCGGGAGCCTTTTGGAGGCCCTTGAGAGGCCTCCGAGATGGCCATAAACTAGTGTTGAAATGTTGGACCACCTTGGAGCCATCTTGAGGCCTTTGGCCTCCTGGGCTCTCTTGGGGCCCTGCGGGAGCCTCATGAGGGTCCTAAGAGGCCTCCAAGAGGACCAACAAATCAACGCAATTTCAAAACAAACCGCCTCGTTATTGGAGAGCGTCTTGTAGCAAGTTGGTGTTGAATGTCGGACACTCTTAGAAGGCCCCAAGAAGGCCCAACAGAAACCCAAGAAGGCGCCCACAGAGGATTTCTTTAGCTTTCACGCGGGGGGGGGTCACCATGTATCCGCTGTGTGTACAGATGGTTCGTCTTGCGGGGCTCGGCTTGAGTTTCGGAGGGCCTTCAGGAGGCTTCCAACCTGAGGTATCTAAAGACTTCGCGTGAGCTTCGAGTGCGATTGCGCTGCTCCAGAAAAGCTCCGAGACGGCCCCAAAGCGCTTCAAGACGCTCATAATGGCTTCAAGGCGGCCACATAGACCCTGCAGACGCCCCAGGGGGGCTCCAAGAGGACCCCCCGGGGGTTCCAAGAGGCCAAAACCAGAGTTGTTCAATTGTTTCCAACCCTCCCATGGTTGGGTACTCATTTTGAATAGAGCAGTGTGGTCGCCCTGGCCTCCTCCTTATCCTTCTCCTCCCCCTCCTCTCCTGTTTACTGTGTTCCCCTCTCCTTTTCTCTCGTGCCGTCGGGCTGCGATCTGCGCAACTGTCGCCATTTTCGTGGGCTCCTGGGATGCCCAGCGGAGGTGGGTCCCACGCGGATCACCTCGAGACCTCGCGGTGCCTTGGGGGCTGCGATCTGCGCAATTGTCGCCACTTTCGTGGGCTCCTGGGAGGCCCAGCGGAGGTGGGTCCCACGCGGATCACCTCGAGACCTCGCGGTGCCCTGGGGGGGCTGCGATCCAGTATGGTTCTGGTGGTGGTTTTGGTTTTGGTTTTGGTTCCGGTTCTGGTTCCGGTTTCGGTTTTGGTTCCGGTTTTGGTTCCGGTTCCGGTTCCGGTTCCGGTTCCGGTTCTGGTTCCGGTTCCGGTTCCGGTTTTGGTTCCAGTTTCCTTCTTTTTGCGGGGCTGGAAAAGGCCCCTTTGGTGACGGTTCCGGTTCTGGTTCTGGTTCTGGTTTCCTTTTTCTTCCAGGCCTGAAAAAGACTTTCAGGTTTTGGTTTTGGTTCCGGTTCCGGTTCCGGTTTCCTTCTTCTTCGGGGCTTTGAAGAGCACCCTCCAGGTAACGGTTCTGGTTCTAGTTTTGGTTCCGGTTCCGGTTCCGGATTCCTTTTTCTTTTCGCCTCAAAGAAGACCACCCTGGTCACGGTTCCGGTTTCGGTTCCGGTTCCGGTTTCCTTCTTCTTCTGTCTTCGAAGAAGACCCCCCAGGTCACGGTTCCGGTTTTGGTTTCGGTTTTGGTTCCGGTTTCCTTCTTCTCTTGGCCTCGAAGAAAGACTCCTTGGTCACGGTTTCGGTTTTGGTTCCGGTTCCGGTTATGGTTTCTTTGTTTTTCTCGCCCCGAAGAAGACCCCCCAGGTCACGGTTTCGGTTTTGGTTCCGGTTCCAGTTCCGGTTTCTGTCTTCTCTTGGTTCGAAGAAGACCCCTTTGGTCACGGTTTTGGTTCTGGTTTCGGTTCCGGTTCCGGTTCCCTTCTTCTTCTGTCTTCGAAGAAGACCCCCCAGGTCACGGTTCCGGTTTTGGTTTCGGTTCCGGTTCCGGTTTCTTTCTTCTCTTGGTTCGAAGAAGACCCCTTTGGTCACGGTTCCGGTTTTGGTTTCGGTTCCGGTTCCGGTTTCCTTCTTCTTCTGTCTTCGAAGAAGACCCCCCAGGTCACGGTTCCGGTTTTGGTTCCGGTTCCGTTTCCGGTTTCCTTACCTAACAGCGAAGACTAACAGGTTTCTAGTGTCAAAAGAGAGCATCATGACACCCCAGGCGGGTCTGGGCGCGATCCGGGGGAGGGTGCTGGGGACTTTTTTTTTTTGACCCAACAATTACACTCTTCGTGGTCTTCGAGGTCCCAGAACTCCACTCCCGGGAATGATTCTGAATGCCCGGAGCCAACTGTAGGCCACTTCTTGGTCTTCGAGTTCCCCGAACTCCATTCCCGGGCCACATTCTGAATGCCCGGAGCCAACTGTAGGCCACTTCGTGCTCTTCGAGTTCCCAGAACTCCATTCCCGGCAGTATTGGTTCCGGTTCTGGTTCCGGTTCCGGTTTTGGTTCCGGTTTTGGTTCCGGTTCCGGTTCCGGTTCCGGTTCTGGTTCCGGCCCGGGCCACATTTTGAATGCCCGGAGCAGGCTGATGCTGAGGCTGAGGCAGGCTGAGGCTGAGGCCGAGGCAGGCTGATGCTGAGGCAAGCTGAGGCGGAGGCTGAGGCAGGCTGAGGCTGAGGCTGAGGCAGGCTGATGAGGCAGGCTGAGGCTGAAGCTGCGGCAGGCTGAGGCTGAGGCTGAGGCTGAAGGCAGACTGGGGCTGAGGCTGAAGCAGGCTGAGGCTGAGGCTGAGGCAGGCTGAGGCTGAGGCTGAGGCAGGCTGATGCTGAGGCAGGCTGAGGCTGAGGCTGAGGCTGAGGCTTAGGCAGGCTGAGGCTGAGGCCGAGGCTGAAGGCAGACTGAGGCTGAGGCTGAAGCAGGCTGAGGCTGAGGCTGAGGCTGAGGCTGAGGCTGAGGCTGAGGCAGGCTGAGGCTGAGGCTGAGGCTGATGCAGGCTGAGGCTGAGGCAGGAGGCTGAGGCCGAGGCTGAAGGCAGACTGAGGCTGAGGCTGAAGCAGGCTGAGGCTGAGGCTGAGGCAGGCTGAGGCTGAGGCTGAGGCAGGCTGAGGCTGAGGCTGAGGCTGAGGCTGAGGCTGAGGCTGATGCAGGCTGAGGCTGAGGCAGGCTGAGGCTGAGGCCGAGGCTGAAGGCAGACTGAGGCTGAGGCTGAAGCAGGCTGAGGCTGAGGCAGGCTGAGGCTGAGGCTGAGGCAGGCTGATGCTGAGGAGGCAGGCTGAGGCTGAGGCTGAGGCTCATGCAGGCTGAGGCTGAGGCAGGCTGAGGCTGAGGCCGAGGCTGAAGGCAGAGAGGCAGGCTGATGCTGAGGCAGGCTGAGGCTGAGGCTGAGGCTGATGCAGGCTGAGGCTGAGGCAGGCTGAGGCTGCGGCCGAGGCTGAAGGCAGACTGAGGCTGAGGCTGAAGCAGGCTGAGGCTGAGGCTGAGGCAGGCTGAGGCTGAGGCAGGCTGAGGCTGAGGCTGAGGCTGAGGCAGGCTCAGGCTGAGGCAGGCTGAGGCTGAGGCCGAGGCTGCAGGCAGACTGAGGCTGAGGCTGAAGCAGGCTGAGGCTGAGGCTGAGGCAGGCTGAGGCTGAGGCTGAGGCAGGCTGATGCTGAGGCAGGCTGATGCCGAGGCTGATGAGGAAGAGGATGGTAATGATGACGAATACGGCTTTGTTGAAGATCATGAAGGTGTGACGGCGAGCTTGATGAGGATGATCGTGGGATCCTCGTGCTGTTGTTGTTTCGGTATTCATCCGTAGCCTTCGTTGGTTCCGATGGCGCCGCCGTTGTGCCAGCGATGTGGCGTCGTCCAGTGCGCCGAGCTCGCTTCCACATCCTTGCGCCACGCCTGGCGTTTTGAGGAAGGCCTCAAGTGGGCCTGGTCTAGCCGTACACAGGCCCGTGGAAGCGTCCATAAGGCCGCTGGCGGGGCGCGCAGGCTATGTTCGCCGCCATGGAGAAGCAAACGTGCTCTCGCGCGCGTCGGCTTCTCCGGGGTTCGGCATTCATGCTTGCGCGCGCCGCGTTTGCGTCTTGTGGTCCTTCCCAAAGAGGCCTACTGGGTGTGCTGCGAGCAGTGCCACGCCCACACCTGGCCTTTGGATCGCCGGTACAACAACCGGCACTCCAGGCCTCGGGTGGACCACAAGGTTCTCTCGAAGGGTGCTGAATTGCTCTTGCATAGCCTTTGCGTTGCGAATTTGGCTGCAATGGCATGGGCGGCATCCACTTTCGAGGCATATTGAGGCGGGAATGCGGCGTGCTGGCGTTGTCCGTAGGCGCCTCGACGATGCCCAGCCATCGCTGCCCGCCTTGTTACGTCGCGGGCCATCGCCCAGAGAGCGCTGGAAGCACGGTGAACTTTCCCATCGTGCTTGCGCGGGCGCGTCGGGCGACGCGTTGCCGCCGACGGACAACGCAGCTCGAGCGCCGCGTTCCTGTGCAAATGTGCCTCCGAGTAGTAGACGCCAACCGCGCCTCGGCATCCGAATGGGCGACGCATTAGCTGTGAACGGGTCGTTCAGCGCCCGTTGAAATACCTTGTGGCCGACGCTCGTAGGCCTGCGTGGGCGGCGGCGGCAGAGGCGGGCGCGCGCCGGCGGGCCGGCCGCGTGCGGCTGGTGGCCGGGGACTTCTACCTCACGGATGCGGTCCCCGAGCGCCGCCGGCCCAGCGACGCCGCGCCCTCGCCCGAGCGCCCGCCGCGCCGCCGCCTGCAGGCGGCGCCGGCGGCCGAGGAGGGGCGCGCCGCGGCGGCTGGCTCGGCGGCGGCCGCGGCCCGACCTGCGCGCCCCGCTCGCGGGGGCGCGCGGCGCGGCTGCTTGAGGGGGGCCCGCGCCACTGCTGGCGCGCCGCCTCCGCCGGCGGCGACGTCTGGCTACTCTTGCACTCTCTGCCAGGAGGCCGGCGCCGGGGGACTGGGCGTCGTTCGACGCGGTGCCTGGTGCCCCGTCGGCGGGGAGGGCCGTCGCGCGCAAGCAGCGGCCCTGCTCGTCGATGGGACCTGGGCGCGCCGATCGCCCCCCTGTCTTGCCTTGCGTCGCCAGGTCGCCAGGGCGCCCTTCTCAGAGCGGTTCCCCGCCACCTGGGAGCCGCCGACGAGCTGCGACGCCTGCGGCGGCGCGCTGGGCCGGGAGCTGACGGCCTACACCGCCACCGCCGGCTCCACCGAGGTGTGGCTGCTGGAGGGCGACGAGGCGCACCCCGGAAACGGCTTCTTCTGCGGGCGCTGCCAGGCGCGGCTGCGCGGGGGCCAGACGCTAGACTGCGCGGCAGCCCTGGGGGCGCAGGCCGCGCAGCGCTGGCGGGAGCCCGTGGACTGGGCGACGCGGCTGGCCGCGCTGGGGCCCCCCTACGCGCCTCGGCGGGGGCAGAAGCGGCCCGCGCGCTAGGCCGCAGCTCGCTCTATGGGTCGCTTCGCGGCGTTCCGCCGCCCCTCGGAGCCTCCGCCCGAAGCGCCGACTAGGCGGGGCTGACGTTCGCCAAGAGGCCATTTCTTTATTGCTTGGGGCATGACGGGCGCCATGGCCCCCGCCCCCCCCCCCCCTCCCCCTACGACGCAGCGCCCCCCCCCCAGTGCGCTCCAGGCACTGCCGCCGTGCGCATTGGGATCCGCGTAGGTGCCCGCGTAGGAATCCGCATTGGCGTCTGGTCCGCAGGCGTCGTCGTCGTCGTCGTCGTCGTCGTCGTCGTCGTCGTCGTCGTCGTTCGTCGTCGTCGTCGTCGTTCGTGTTTCGTCGCTCGTCGCTCATCGTCGTCGCGCGCGCGGACGCGGCTGAAGCTTGTTTTTATGTCCGGGGCGATGACGGCAGTCACCCGGGGGGGGGGGTCGATGACGTCACGTTTTGCGCAGGCGGCGTTTGGGAATGGTTCGGAATGACGGAGGACGGGCAGCGCGAACATGTAGGTGGCGATATGCACCACGACGGCTGCGTACATCACAGCGCCCGCCGCCTGTGTACACCACGCCGCCGATGTACACCACAGCAGCCGCGTGCAACGAAGCGCCAGTTTGTGCCACCGTGCCTGCGGGCACAGCAGCTCCTGCGCACACCGCAGCGTCTCCGTGCGCCACGTCAGCCGCGCGCAACGCAGCGGTGGTGGTTTTGGTTTTGGTTCCACACAGGCCCCGCTGCCAGAGAGCACCCACTACTCAACATACTCCGTCTCCGAGAGAGCACCCTCAGGTCACGGTTTCTGGTTCCGGTTCCGCTTCTGGTTCCGGTTCCCTTTTTCCTCGGGGCCCCAACGAAAACCTTCAAAGTCACGGTTCTGGTTTTGGTTCCGCATCCGGTTCTGGTCCCAGTTTCCTTCTTCTTCGGGGCCCCAAAGAAGCCTATCCAGATCATGGTTCTGGTTTCAGTTCCGGTTCCGGTTCCGGCGTCGGTTTCCTTGTTCTTCGGGCTCCCAAAGAAGACCCCCCAAGGCACGGTTTTTGGTTCCTGTTCCGGTTCCGGTTTCTTTCTTCTTCGTGGTCCAAACGAAGATTTTCCAGGTCACGGTTCTGGGTCCGATTCCAGTCCCGGCCTGTGCTTCCAAAACAAAAACCAGTAAACAACGAGTCAACTGACCCCGTCTCTCAAACATCACTCTGTGCTAAACAGCCTCCCTCTCCAAGGCAGCACCCGGTATTCCACAGACTCCGTGTCCAAGGGAACACCCAGCACTCAACAGACCCCGTCTGCAATACAGCACCGTGTACTCAACAGACTCCGTGTCCAAGAAGGCACCCAGTACTCAACAGACCCCGCTGCCAGAGGGCACCCAGGAAAGGTCGATTTAAAAACCCGACCCGCCCGCCCGCCCCCCGCCCACCCGCCCGCCCGACCGCCCGCCTTTGTTTCCAAGAGAGCACCCACTACTCAACAGACTCAGTCTCCAAGAGAGCAGCCACTATTCAATTGCCTCCGTCTCCAAGACAGCGCCCAATATTCAACAGAATCCGTGTCCAAGGTAGCACCCACTAGTCAACAGACTCCGTCTCCAAGACGGCACCTTGTACTCAACAACTTGCGTGTCCAAAAAGGCACCCAGTACTCAACAGACCTCGCTGCCAGAGAGCACCCACTAGAGGTCTGTTTAAAAAAATCCGACCCGCCCGCCCGCCCCCCGCCCGACCTCGCGCCTGTGTCTCCAAGACAGCACCCACTACTCAACGGACTCCGTTTCCAAGGCTGCGCCCAGTATTCAACTGACTCTGTGTCCAAGGGAGCACACAGGTCTCAACTGATTCCGTTCCCAAAACAGCACTATGTACTCAACAGATTCCGTGTCCAACAAGGCACCCAGTACTCAACAGACCCCGCTGCAAGAGAGCATTCACTAGAGGTCTTTCATCAAAACCCGACCCGCCCGCCCGCCCCCCGCCCGACCGCCCGCTTCCGTCTCCAAAAAAACACCCACTACTGAACAGGCTCCGTCTCCAAGAGAGCAGCCACTACTCAACAGATCCCGTGTCCAAAAGAACTTCGTATTCATCAGACTCCGTGTCCAAGAGAGCACGCAGTACTCAACAAGATCCGTGTCCAAGACAACACCCAGTACTCAACAGACTCCGTGTCCAACAAGGCACCCAGTACTCAGCAGACCCCGTTGCCAAAGAACACTCACTAGAGGTATAGTTAAAAAGCCCGTTCCGCCCGCCCGCCCCCCGCCCGCCCGCCCGACCGCCCGCTTGTGTCTCCAAATGAGCACACATTACTCAACACACTCCGTTTCCAAGAGAGCAGCCACTGAGGGTTTCGTTTCCATTTCAACAACTCCCGTCTCCAAGAGAGCACCCGGTATTCAACAGATTCCGTGTCCAAGGGAGCACCCAGTATTCAACAGCCTCCATCTCCAAGACAGCGCTCTGTATTCAACAGACCCCGTGTCCAAGAAGGCACCCAGTATTCAACAGACCCCGCTGCCAGAGAGCACCCACTAGAGGTCTATGTAAAAGCCTGGCCTGCCCGCACCCCGCCCGCCTGCCCGCCAGACCGCCCGCGTCTGTCTCCAAGAGAGCACCCACTACTCAACAGACTCCGTCTCCAAGAGAGCACCCGCGTCTCAAACAACCTCCATCTCCAAGACAGCACCCGGTATTCATCAGACTCCGTGGCCAAGAGAGCGCCAAGTACTCAACAGACTCCGTGTGTACTCACCAGACTCCGTGTCCAAGAAGGCACCCAGTACTCAACAGACCCCGATGCCAGAGAGCACCCACTAGAGGTGTATTTAAAAACCGCCCGCTTTTGTTTCCAACAGAGCACCCGCTATTCAACTGACTCCGTCCCAAAGAGAGCACCCGCTACTCAGACAACCTCCGTCGCCAAGACAGCACTTGGTATTCAGCAGACTCCGTGTCCAAGAGAGCACCCAGTACTCAACAAGCTCCGTCTCCAAGACAACACCCAGTACTCAACAAACCCCGTGTCCAAGAAGGCACCCAGTACTCAACAGACCCCGCTGCCAGAGAGCACCCACTAGAGGTCTAGTTTAAAAACCCGACCCGCCCGCCCGCCACCCGCCCGCCCGCCCGCCCGACCGCCCGCCTCTGTCTCCAAGAGAGCACCCATTACTCAACAGACTCCGTTTCAAAGAGAGCAGCCACTACTCAACAGCTCCCGTCTCCAAGGCAGCACCCAGTATTCAACAGACTCCGTGTCCAACACACCCCGTTGCCAGAGAGCATTCGTTAGAGGTCTATTTGGAAACCCGACCCGCCCACCCGCCCCCCGCCCGCCCGCCCGACCGCCCGCTTCTGTCTCCAAGAGAGCACCCATTACTCAACAGACTCCGTTTCCAAGAGAGCAGCCACTATTCAACAGCTCCCGTTTCCAAGGCAGCACCCAATATTCAACAGACTCCGTGTCCAAGGGAGCACCCAGTATTTACAAGCCTCCGTCTCCAAGACAACACCCAGTACTCAACAGACCCCGTGTCCAAGAAGGCACCCAGTACTCAACAGACCCCGCTGCCAGAGAGCACTCTCTAGAGGTCTACTTAAAAACCCTAGAGGTCTACTTAAAAACCCGACCCGCCCGCCCGCCCCCCGCCAGCCCGCCAGCCCCACCGCTTCTGTTTCCAAGAGACTCCATCTCCAAGGGAGCACCCGCTATTCAATAACCTCCGTCTCCAAGACAGCACCTCATGGTGCCAGCTTTTTCTTCACGGGAATGCCATGTGGACTACCGCAAGTCACGGTTCTGAATGCCGTTCCAGTTCTGGTTTCGGTTTCCGTCTTTTTCGAAGCCAAGGAAGCTGCAGGTCACGGTTTTTGGTTCCGGTTCCGGTTCTGGTTCCGGTTTCCTTCTTCTTCGGGGCACAAATAAACCTACCAGGTCACGGCTTTGGTTCTGGTTCCGGTTCCGGTTCCGGTTTCCTTCTTCGTCGGGCTCCCGAAGACCCCCCAGTCACTGTTTTGGTTCCGGTTCCGGTTTTGGTTCCGGTTTCCTTTTTCTTCGGGGTCCCAAAAAGACCCCCCAGGTCACGGTTTTGGTTCCAGTTTTGGTTTTGTTCCGGTTTTTTTCTTCTTCGGGGTCCCAGAAAAAACCTTCCAGGTTACGGTTTTGGTTTTGGTTCCGGTTCCGGTTTCCTTCTTCTTCGCCCCAGAGAAGACCCTCAGGTCACGGTTTTGGTTCCGGTTCCGGTTTTGGTTCCGGTTTCCTTCTTCTTCGGGGTCCCAAAGAAGACCTTCCAGGTTACGGTTTTGGTTCCGGTTCCGGTTCCGGTTCCGGTTTCCTTCTTCTTCTCCGCCCCAGAGAAGACCCTCAGGTCACGGTTTTGGTTCCGGTTCCGGTTCCGGTTCCGGTTTCCTTCTTCTTCTCCGCCCGCAGAGAAAACCTTCCAGGTCACGGTTGTGGTTCCGGTTCTGGTTCTGGTTCCGGTTTCCTTCTTCTTTCCTCGTTTGAGACGGTCGTCGTGGTTCCGGTTCCGGTTCCGGTTCCGGTTCCGGTTTCCTTCTTTTTCTCGGTGCCCAGGGGCGCCTCCGGTCATGGTTCTGGTTCCGGTTCCGGTTCCGGTTTCCTTCTTCTTCCCCGCCCCGAAGAAGGCCTCCTAGGTCACGGTTTTGGTTCCGGTTCCGGTTCCGGTTCCGGTTCCGATTTCCTTTTTCTTCTTTGGTTCGAGGGGCTCCCGAGGTCCTGGTTTTGGTTTCGGTTCTGGTTTTGGTTCTGGTTTGTGTTTGCCTTTTTCCGGCGCTCTTCTGTTCTGGTTTTGGTTCCGGTTCCGGTTCCGGTTCCGGTTCCGGTTCCGGTTTCCTTCTTCTTTCCCCTCCCGAAGAAGGGCGCCGAAACCACCACCAAAACCACACTCCTGCGATCTGCGCAACTGTCGCTACTTTCGTGGGCTCCTGGGAGGCCCAGCGGAGGTACGTCCCACGCGGATCTCCTCGGGACCTCGCCGCCCCCTG